CCTGGTAAGTCACTCTTGCCCGTAGCACCCATGTGTGGCCTGTGCCGGGCCTCCCAGGGTTTCCCCTGGCCTTCCTTGATTCTCATCCAGCCTGCACCAGCCCTCCTACACACACCCTCCACAGCACCCCTACGGTCGTTACCCAGGACTCCCGCCACTTCCCGCTTAACGACCCGCATGTCTTGGGGTTACGATGGCAACTGGGATTGTCGTCATGCTTTATGACCACATTGCTTAGCAGTGACAATCCTGGTCCCAATTGCCATCATAACCTGAGGACTACCTGTAATAAGAACTTCATACTGTATGGAGATGATAATGTCATGGTTTGTGTTTGCTGCCCTAGGATTTGAATGACTTGCAAAGGAAGCATAAATTCTTTATATCAAAGAATTCAGTGAGAGAATCTTTGGCCATCTCTTTCAACAGTTGGTATGCAAGTGGGTCACACAAGTGAGCAGTGATCCCAAACTAACATGCTAGTCTACAAGAGAACAGATGATAATGCATTTAATATTTTAGAATAGTTAAATCAAACTCCAGGCTTAAGCCTCATAGAAATGTTGTACAACCTGAATCAAGTAGTTCCTGTTAGAACACTCTGAAATGTTATGAGTTAAAGCAGTTTGCCATGGAGGAATGGACCAAAAATTCTACATGGTGATCTGAAAGGTTGATCATCAATTACAGGAAGTAGTTGATTGCAGTTATTCCAATAGAGGTGGTTCAATCCATTACTGATTTCCAGTGGGGTGATTCCTGTGCATTGGTATGCCATGTTGGATACATTTGCATATTAAAACATGAAACAAGGACTAGACTGTGTTATTTGTTCTGTCAGACTGTTTTTAAGTATCAGTAAGACCTATAGGAAGCTCCAGTAACTTGCATAATTTCAAAAGGTGGGAATTGTAGGAATGCAGCATATGTGGCTTGATAACAGAACTCATGAAAAAAATCTTAAAATAGTGGTTGACTACTTACTGAATATGACTGCGTAATGTGATGTGATTGCAAAAATGACAAATTCCATTTTAGACTGCATCAACAGAAGTATGATTTCTAAATCATGAGAAGTTTTTGTTCTGCATTGGTCAGACCCTATTTGGTTCTAGGCACTACCCTTTCTCCAGGTGCCCCATCAAACAATGTAAAACCAGGGGAGAGGTCTGACCACCAAGGGAAGGAAGTTCTGATTATGAAGTGACCTTTTTATTGAAGAGGAGCAGTGCCTTGTTTACAGATTACCTGAATCGAAAATACTTGTGTGGTACCAGCTTTATAAGAGAGCCAGTTTGGTGTAATGGTTAAGGCATCAGGCTAGAAAATGGGAGACTGTGAATTCCAGTCCTGCCTTAGGCACAAAGCCAGCTGGATGACCTTGGGCCAGTCACTCTGTCAGCCCTAGGGAGAAGGCAATGGCAAACCACTTCTGAAATCTTGCTGAGAAAACTGCAGGGACTTGTCCAGGCGGTTGCCAAGAGTCAAAAACTGACTTGAAGGCACCAAAAAAAAACAAAACCCATCCAGCTTCATAATATTTTTAGTGTATAATATCTCTGGCCTAGACTCTCCAAGTCTTTGGAGGATGTAGTTTATAAGCAGCTTTATGTGGGAGGTAGGGTTGTACCTCGTGTGGTTGTAATGAGTGCCTTTTTCTTTTCCCCCCTTCCCCCTCCATTTGTGATCATGTATTTTTTTCAGATTCTCCATGGTTTCAAAGATCAAGTTGGGGAAGATAACTGGCAGCAGTTCTCAGAGCAGTTTCCTCCACTTCTGAAGGAGAGGCTTGCTGCGTTCTATGGGGTTTAGGCGAAGCAGCAAAACCATACTTGGTGAGTCCCAAGAATGTTGAGTAAATTACATCCCCACAGTTAAAGGGAGAAAGAGGAACTAAGAAAGGAGAAAAGCATTTTTAAAAAAATCTTCAGTCTCTCAAGTGAGAGATTGAAAAGAAAGGGATAGTTCTTCCAACTCTAATCTCTAATCCATCCTGATGTTGAAGGTCCAGCCTTTTCATTTTACTATTTGCATTAGGAGAAAGAAATATGTCAATAAGAATTTAAAGTCCACCATAACCAGTGGAATGGATTTTGATTGTACCTGAGTTGTGGCCAATTTGCACCTCTAATTGTGGTTGTATTAATTTAACTTAATTTATTCAATTCAATTAAATGTATTAATTTAATTGTGGACTGCATGATGAGCGTTAGATGCCTTTGATAAAATGAGTTGTGGAAAGTGGTTCAGTCTTGTAAATTCAAAGTCTGTTATTGGCTACTTTTTTTAATTCTGACATTCTGTTTCTTTCCTCAGGTTCCTGTGTGCGCTGGGAGGGATACTGGGAACTCGTCCACAACCCAGTGTTGCAGATCCCTGTTAATGGGGGGTTAGGGAGGACGGGAAGAGCATTGTGGGACATAAAATGACCGCTCCCCATCTCCTGAAATTTACAAAGTTTGGGGGGGGAGGGTGGGCCTCCATGACCAATTGAAACAAAAATCAGGGTATCTCACTGGCAGAAGGAAAGACCTCTTTATTCAGAGGCCATCACAGGTGGAATGGGGTGGGGTGGGACTCGGCCCTGTGCTGAGAAAAGGGAGCAAACTTAAACTGCAACACTCTTGAGAAGGGGATCTAACTAGGGGCCATCATAAAGAACTAGCTAAAAATAATAAAGGATAGGTTTAAGATGTTAAAAAGGAATTAAAAGCTACAGTGGTTTAAAACCAGCTGATGAAGAGGGAAGGGTTAAAATGTAATCCAAGGGGGTTATACTACTGTATATTTCCAGTCACTGGGATTCAAGAGATCAGCTATTCTTCACCTTTTCAAGACTGCATGGTGACCAAGAAGTAGATTAGCAAATCTGTGAGTAGCCCATAATGACTAAGTGTAAGCATTTTCATCTAGGAATCTTAAGGAAACCCACAAAATCTTTTTGCCATAATTGCCATGGCACTGTGTGCTAGAAGTGATGCTCAGTGCAAAGGCAGCCTCTGACCTTGCAGGGACCTGCTGGCTATCTAGGGAGCAGTCTTTTTCATAAGAAATACTGTTGGAGAAGCATGTCTTTATTTTTTAAGATGCCACAGTGCAGTGAGTCTGTTACCCTGTTGTTCAGCTGTTACTTTGTGACACTGTTATTACATTACTTCAGCTGCGGGAGGCAGGAAGGAGCAGAGGGAAACTGAATTTCACCTGGGAATGACTACATGGGCCAAAGAGCAGAAAACAATGTGTATTTGTTTTTTGAATGGCTCATGGCATACCATGTTCTGCACTCTTCTGATCAGAGTGGTATTTTACATAAAGGCAATTTACATTTTCTGTCTTAAGGGACTTCTATACCACATTCACCACTCTGGCTTACAAAAGAAATAGTAAACACAACAAAGTATAGAAGAATGATTAAACAACGACCCTCCATGCATGATCAGTGGAAGCTTGTAGCTTTTGCTGCATACTTAATGGAGTTGCTGTCTTAAAAAATTCTCATTAGATCCAATTAGATTATTCTCTGGAAATGGGGGATTGCTGAATGCTTTTAACTTAGTTAAAGCCATAGCTTTTTAATAGGAAATGAAAAGGTTGTGGAGTAGAAGCCTATTTTCCCAAAGGCAGCTAGGATATGGGGAAAAGGGAATACTGCTTCACTTAATGAAATACACTTTTGGAAAAATGAGGAATGCTTGAGGAGAGGAAATACTCAAAAGGAACATTCTGCAGAGTAAACAAAAACAGGATTTGTGCAAAGCAGTGTTTGCCTACAGACAGCATGGCGACAAGGAACAGTGAGCTGGGCCACATCTCCAACTTTCTTAGCAGATTCCAGTGGAACTTTGGCAACATCAGGATTAATAGCCAGACAACTAGGTTGAACTGTGCCTTGTGTCCTGCGTTGCCTCTGGTGGTGGTAAACAAAAGTGGTGAGACTACTTAGATGTTGAAGATGATTTATGTGACAAAAAGGACATCCTTTTCTGGGTTAAAGATATACTTTTTGACAGTAACTGAAGGTGACATTCTGGGTACTGTTGTATGCCTTTTTAAAAGTGTATTTGTGAGATTGCCCAGTAACTTAAGCTTCACTGATATACCTATCTATATTTTTCTTTATATCTCTGGCCTCTGTTTCATATGTTAATAGTGCTTGCAGTTCTTAGAATTTTGACAGAACTTGCTGGGGCATTACCATACAGGCCATTGTGCCAGGAAACCATTTCAGTTTGGAGATGGCACATACCCAAGTGAAAGGTGCTGTTCTCAGTTTTGGATCTGATTGCTGGGGGTGGGGGAAGGACACAGCCTTGCATCTCCGCATCTCCTCAAATAGCAGGTCAAAGAAACAATAGTAAACTTACAGATAGTAAACTTCCTGAACTCATCTTTTTAATAGTGTCAAACGTGAGCAGGTCTCTGAAAGCAATCGGCTAGTTCTTTGCATTTTAATTGTTTTATTACAAGCATTCCTCCTCGTGCTGTATTCTCCTTGTCCTGGGGGAGGAGGGAAGCAGAAATTCTATTTGGGTAGCAATTGGTTTTTAAATGCATGGGCAAGAAATATGCATACATGGCAGGTGGAGTCCTGGCTTGTGCTTTGGAACCAAGTGCCCAGGAATATGAAAAGAAGGCTGTGAACTCTTCATCCAGTGAAGTTTAAGCTACTTGGCCTGACTGCCTCTTGAAATGGAATTCGTCTTTTGTACAAGTGCTTCTAGTATTGCCTCCTGTTTGTTAATCCTGGATTTGTATATTTGTAAATGTGCCGTAATGTTTCCAATGGTGGAACTGCAGTGTACCTAGTGTTGAAGCAGCTGCTTGCACCTTGCTCAAATGAGATTTTTCTCATTTTTATGTATAATTTTTTGTCAACTAAAAAAATTCCTGTGACTCCAGTTTTCCTGTTTCTGACCACTTTCTTTGTCTTAACTTAAATGTTTTTCATTGTACTTTTCAGTGTAGTGATTCCGAGTGTTCAAAAAATTCAGCTGGACTGAAGATTCCTGAGTTCTGTATTTCCTAATGCTCAATCTTTATGAATTTTTCCTTTGCCCTGCCTTGTTAAGGATAGTACTACCATTGTGGAAGGGGAAGCTGTTTCTTCAAGTAACTTTGGTTTGTTGGTAAAAAGATTTGCCTTTTCAAATTATCATAATGCAGTTTTTTGGTAGAATGAAGCACTCTTTTTGTAAAGGTGCACCAGGGTAATGTGGAATTGGAATTCTAAACAACATATAAACCCAAGATTATGTACTTTCTAATACAGATTTAAGTGGTATTGGAGCTGCTGGAGCCCCTCTAGCATTGAAAAACAGCACCTTGCACTGAGCTCAGAAGATAACTGGGTTAATGCAATCCTTAAGCTTTCAGAAGAGAGGAAAGTTAGAGGTGGCAATAACTGCCACCCTCATGGCATGCTGTGCCCTTAAAATGAGATGGTTGTAGCAACTCTCTTGTTACTTGGACATACATGAGGTATTAAATGTGCCTAGCTTGGCTAATACAGTACACACCAGAACTGAAAGTAGCCTCTAGTCAATTTGCTGAGAAGACTGTTTAATCATCACCTAACCACATTATGAAGACTTGCTATTACATATGTGCACAATTCAACACAGGATCTTACTAATTGTACCTTTCTGAGCAAGTGTTTATGTCCAGTAAATTAGTTTTTCATATTGGAGGGCCTTTGAAACTAGATGGTACTCATGCATGTGTAATGTTTGGTTACCAAAACATTATTTCAATTGTATAGTTCGTTTAAACAAAAGTAAAATGATTGTATTCTTTATGCATACATTTGCAGAATGTAGATTTATACTACATACTTGAATATGCATATTGTCTTGCCCGTTTATTCATTCATGTATTCTAAAACCTTACAAAATAGCCCCGTCCTCCTGAGTTCCTGCTTCCTCGACTGTCTGACTTAATCCTCATCAAGATGTTAAACTGCAGTCCTTTTTGCCAACAGAAACTTTAAAAGAATGTTTTTAAACTACCATGAGCCAGATAATAAATACTACAACTAGGTTTCGCTAGTGGAGTATGGTTGAGGCTGCCAGAGCGGAACTGCTACTCAATTCAGCGAGCCATGCTTTCGCAAACCCCGGAGGACCACAGTCTAGACGCCCCCTACTTGGCGTCCAGAAACCGGGGGCCTGCCGCAGAAGAGCGACCTGAAAAGACTGAGCTTTGCATCATCAGTTGGCGCCGGAAGTGGTGGCTCCTTGGAGACGGGACGCGCGAAGGCGTTGCGATGGGGGCCGGAGCGACCTATCAGGAAGAAGCAGTCCTAAATCGATGGTGCTGGTTCTTCCCTTCAGAGAAAGCGGCTGAGGCAGGTTGGCGCGAGGATTAGGTGCGCTAGTTCACTGCTGTAATCAAGGGGCCGGGAAACAGGAGGCGGAGCTGGGATTAAGCTTTTACCGTGCCGCACTCCGCATTTTCAGAACGGAAACCTTTCCCTCGCTTCCAACATCGGTAAGGCGGGCGTGACCGCTGCTCCTATGCTGTTCCTGCCTGAACGGAGGAGTCACATTCGACAGCAGAGTTGGATTGTTCACTCGCTGCATTTCCCGGACAGCTACACGAGAAGCGTGTATGGGGGAAGGAAACGAAAGGAGGGTAGCAAAAGCGCAGCCCTTTTTAGAATCGCCTTTTGGGTGTATGCGTGGGAAGAGAAAATTCGGCTTTAAGTTTTTGTTTGCAGTAGTGACAAAAAGTGAGAGAAAAGCAGTTGCTTTTGTGAGATTTGCACTCTGCCTCTCTGTGGTGTCAAAGGATAAGCTTTCCTTCTTTCCGGAATCTGTTCCAGGAAGCTGTTAGGATACTTCTGGTTTTATTCATTAGGAAAAATAATAGCCATTTCAGAATACATTTTCCTCCCTGAACTGTGCTTTGCACATAGGACCTGTATGAATAGAATATTTCTGATGTAGTTGGGAACCATAGCATTGTGATCTGATCGTGCAACAGTTTTATTTGCATGGACTTTGTTCTCATTTTCAGATGAAAAGTTGGAAGTTAGAATTGAAACAACTTACGTAATCCTATTCTTTTGTCTACTGATGAACACCATCATTTGAAAAGAGATAAAACCAAATAAGATTTTTTTACATTTGTCTTTCAGGAGTTCATCTTCTTGTTGATTATCTTTTTTGAATGTCCAATAGATAATTTGTTTTTACATCTTGCACCTTGAGCATCATTTAAAAATATTCACCCGTAATGTTGAGGCTTAAGTTAAAAGTACCTATAATTCATATACTCGAAATTTCTCTGTTGTGCATAAAACTTTTGTATTATTAATTGAAATACATATTTATAATAAAATAATGTATGACTTAGGTTTTTATTGTTCCTTATCTCAGCTCTTTGCTTCTTGTCTTCTTACAGCAATGGAAACTGTCCCAAGTTCTTCTACTGAACAGCAAGGCTCTGACAATGACTCAGATGCAGAGAGCAAAGCAGATCCAGATACCCAGGCCCTGGAGTACATTGAACGTGTTCTTGGAACTTCAAGACAGTCCAGGCAGGCAACCCAGTGTCTCCCTCCAGAGTCTCTCTCAATCGGTGGTAGAGCCCGAACATCAGACCTCAGATCACCTCTAGAACTAAAAAAATCTTCTGTTATTGATGAAACTGCTTCAGGGCTATTATCTCTTCCTCTAGAGTTGATCTTAGAAATCTGTTCCTACCTACAAGCCAGGTTTGTTTTGCGTGTCCTTCCTTTAGTCTGCAGGACACTGAGGGACATTGTGCAAGATGAAGTCACTTGGAGAATTCGCCTGTTAAAAAGAATTGGCAACTGCTATCCAGTTGTAGAAGGTGGGTGGGTTTTCTTTCTGGCTGTGGTGACCTATATTTTAGCTTTTCCAAAGCAGCTTCTCGCATGATTAACTTTTAGGGAGGGGTGGAACTGGTGTTTTGAATATGGATGGTGTTGGGAGGAAGAAAGAAGCTAAAAAGAGTTTTCCTTTTCTTTGTCTGAAAAGTAAGAGGGAATATCACTAGCTAAAATGAATAGAAGATTACACTCATGAGCTACTTTTCAAATGCTGTAATTTGTAAATATGGCTGTAAATATTGCTGTAAATATTCTGGATGGAATATTGGTAAATATCTTTCTAGCCTTTACTGGGATTTTGCTTTTCTCATTTTTGGACTGTTGCAGGTAAGCTCAATAATATTGTTTCTGAACTGATAGTACTGAGTCCTTTATGGTTTAAAAATAACAACTTGTCAGTTCCCAGATTGAATTATTAGAAATGGTCATAAGCCACTTTTGCAGTGTTACAACTCCTGCTTCGTGTATGTAGAACTTCTGTGTCTTAGTATCTGTCTTTTTTTGGTGTAAACCATTTAATGCTTATATAAAAAAGCACCATAAAACATAAATAAAACATAAACTTCTCTACATTGCTTTTTATACACTTATATATATTGGCAGGTGATGATTTTAACTGGCCAACTGCTTGTATTGAACTAGAGGAACACCTCCAACAATGGGCAGAGGATGGCAGGAACACAGAGTATTTTTCCCTTACTGAAGGGCACTTTGCCTCTGTTGATTCTGTACTGCTCCTTCAGGTAAAAGCTTTTCTCTCTTTGCTGCTTTTATTGATAATGATATTGTTTTGACAAAGTATATCCTTCAACATCTGAAGTTTAATTAGAATGTTGTAAAATGTTCTGCATTTGTTTTGTTTTTCTGTCAAAACTTTGAGAAGTAACTTGCAAAATTCATCTGGCCAAATAGGAGAGAGCTCTCGATGTTGTGTTCCATTAGAATTCCAGATCTCATAATAGGGGCTGGTTGTGGATTTGTTACCATTTTACATGAAATGATTCTTAGACCTAAATGCTGAGTAGAGGGTTAACTGTGGCCCCTTTTAAAAAAAATATTTTAAAAAATTAACCCTCATTAGCGTATCCATTTTAAAAAGTATTCATTGTTTGCTACTGTTTCCCTTCCATCATTCTCATTCTTGATTGTTTACTGCTAAAGTATTTGTCAAACCATTCTGGGTACTGTCTTCACAATGGCTTTTTAGTTTGTTTGTTTATTTAGTTGTTTGTTTCCATTTATATAGCCACCTATCTCACTTGCATGACTCTGGGTGTCATACAAATAACAACAGCAAAAAGCAAACTTGAATAAATAAAATTAGAAACAGTTAAAACAATAATTCACAAACATAAAAGTGCGGGAGAGTGCCAACCAAAGCTCACAACCAATGCAGCCATCTTGCAGGCTTTCCACATCCAGATCCCTACACCTGATGGCACAGCCATGTCTTAAGGGATTTCCTAAAGGCCAAGAAGATTGGGGCCAATCTGACCTCAGGGAACATGGTGTTTCAGAGGGTGGGCGCCATGGCAGAAAGGACTCTCCTCCTCCTAGGTCCTGTCAGATAGAACTCCTTCGTAGATGGGACCTGCAACATGCCCCTTCTGCCAGGTCTGATGGAATGGGCAGATATAAATGGAGGGAAGACAATCCCTCAAATAACCCAGCACCATGCTTTATAGGGCTTTATAGGTCATAACCAGCACCCTGAATTGAACCCGGAAGCAAATTGGCAATGAGTGCAGCTCAGAGAGCAAAGGTGTAACGTGCGCCAATCTTGGAGTGCACATAACTGCCCATACCACCACATTTTGCACTAGTTGTAGCTTCTGGATGTCTTCAAGGGCAGCCTCATGCAGAGCACATTACAGTAATCCATTAAGGAGTGAGTGAGAGAGTATGCATAAGAAGTTATTTTTTCTTTTTACTGAAAAAAAGTTGGATGTTTGCTTGCTGACTTTGTGAAACTACTCTGCAAAAGGAAGGGCACTGACTTGCGGCTTTTGATTAGCATTTATTTTTGTTATCTTATCCAGGGTGGGGAGCTCTGTATTTCTGGCTCTCGAGACCGAAATGTCAACTTGTGGGACCTAAGGCAGCTGGGCAAGGCACCAGAAAAAGTTCTAGTGAAGGCGCTGGGGACAGAACGCAATGGAACACACAAGGTATCTGGAGATTCTGAAGCAGATCAATGTATTAAGCATGGAAAATAAGGTTAAAAATTATTAGCAGAAATCCTGTATTATCAACCCCCAAATTTCTACCTGTCTAAGATCCAACCCCCATTCCATTGTTTAAACCAGAATATTTTGCAATGGCTTTCTCTGTGTGTGACGTGTATATGTGTATGACATCTCTCATCATGATTTAAGAATTTTCTACATTCTCTCTCTTTTGAACATTAACGCTTCCCCCTTTACAATCTTCATTGTTCCCTGATACCTTCTTTGTCTTTTACTGTGAACAAAATTAAAGTGGCCCATGCTTTTTTAACCAGTAGTAATGTATGGCTGTGAGAGCTGGACCATAAAGAAGGCCGAGCGCCGAAGAATTGATGCCTTTGAACTGTGGTGCTGGAGAAGACTCTTGAGAGTCCCCTGGACTGCTAGGAGGTCAAACCAGTCAATCTTAAAGGAAATCAACCCTGATTGCTCATTGGAAGCTGGACCATAAAGAAGGCCGAGCGCCGAAGAATTGATGCCTTTGAACTGTGGTGCTGGAGAAGACTCTTGAGAGTCCCCTGGACTGCTAGGAGGTCAAACCAGTCAATCTTAAAGGAAATCAACCCTGATTGCTCATTGGAAGGATCGATAATGAAGCTCAAGCTCAGATATTTTGGTCACCTAATGCGAAGAGAGATCTCTTTGGAGAAGACCCTGATGCTGGGAAAGATTGAAGGCAAAAGGAGAAGAGGACGGCAGAGGATGAGATGGTTAGATAGCATAACTGAAGGAATGAGCATGAAACTGAGCAAACTCAGGGAGGCAGTGAAGGATCGGAAGGCCTGGCGCAATATGGTTCATGGGGTCACGAAGAGTCGGACACAACTTAACGACTAAACAACAATGCTTTTTTATGGCTGGCTACAAAGGAAATTGTTCCTATGAAGACGTGAGGTGTATGCTATCCTGGCAGAAATATGGCCTGTCCCTTCAAGGAAAGAGATGGTATTTGGAAGACCTTGTAGTCCTCTCTAACTTCAGAACAGGGAGTGACTGTTCCCAGTGAAATGGAGGGGAATGCTTCATCACCTCTACTATTGTGATGATTCAGTGCAGTGTCTTCTAGGCCAAAGGATTATGATACAGGATTGAACCTTTGTTTCTGTTCTAAAATTATGTCTGTTTATTAAACTGCTATATCTTATCTCATATACAGTATAGCGGAAGGTTGGTTGTCTCCAGAGAATGAAAGCCCAGAGTCTTTCCCAGTTATAGGTTTTGCTATATAAAGCAATATGAGGAAACAGCAGAAAGAGATATTTCTACAGTTAATCTGGAAAGGTTAATTTGACCTAACAGTAAGCATAAGAGGGTTGTTGTAGTTTTGTTGTTGTTATTGCAGTGTGTAGTCATTGAAAAAGATTAGCTGGAGTTATCATATGTATATATGCCACCACAGTGTTGTTAAAAACTGAAGGATGGTGATGTATCTTGTCCTGCCTTTTTTTTTACTGCCTAGGGGTGGGTATGGTCCCTGGCTGCAAGAGATAACTGTGTATGCTCAGGCTCCTGGGACAGCACAGTGAAGTTATGGGACATAGCTGCTGATGGGAAACAGTTTGGCGAAATCAGGTACTGTTGCTCCTTATCCTCTTATGTTATGTTCATTTAGAAAACTAAATGGCAAAAGGCAAAATTAGATTCAAAGAAACAGAATTACATCAGTGATGATGACCAGGGAGGAAAAACACTGGCTTCCGTCCTTAATCAGGGGCCTAGGAATATAGATAAATGTAACATCCTGCTTCGGAAAAATAGCATCAAATCATGGTAAAAGACATAAAATACTACAGTCTTGAGTTATACTGGATGTCAGAGAACTTCATCTATCTTTTTCTTCTATTATTTCACAAGGATTTATTAAAAATAAATCTAGACAAATAATCTCCAATTAACATTGCATAGTAATCACCATATTGAAACAATCTAATGTATAATGTATCAAGATCTATAGCAATGTAATAAAAAGAAAAAAAAGACTAGACAAAGGGTTTTGAAGGAGTATTGGAGGGTGAGTAAGGATAGGAACTGATGCAGACCTACACAGAGCCAAAAGATCAACTAAGGTGTTATTTATTGCAGTTCACGTTTACAATAATGTAAATGTTGTACAATAATGTACACTAAGCCTTCTCAGCTTCTTTCCTCTTCACCTTATATACCTTATCTCTGATGTGCATATGTACCAGTTTGCAGGTGCTTCCAGAAAGTTTAGAATTTGTTTCTCCCTGTGTGCCCATCCCCTTGTTCTTGGCTGTGAGATGTTTCAGGAAAAAAAATCTTTAACCTGGATAGGTACAATTCTACAAAGAAAATTCCAATTCCATACATAGCAGCTCACTTTGCCACAGGGAGAGAGGTTATTGTACATACATATATTGTATCTATAAATACCACATTGTGTAAAAACAGTGCAACCTTCTCTGATCTTACATTTCTAGAATTCCCACGTTGCATGACCCACGTGGTTTGGAATTCAGAGAGTTGGAGGTTGCCTATTTAATTCAAACTGACGTAGTGGACCATTGGAACATACTTGATTTGCCAGATCTTAGTGCATTGGATGTTTCATACAACAAACTAATTTCTATGGTGACTTAGATCACTATGCAGATGGTGCAGATTGCATCATCTGCATCTATTTATGGCATTTGAGTGGGGTCATTATGCAAATGCCACAAATCACCAAGATGACATTCTTGTCTATTAAAAAAGTTTCATATTTAATGGACATTCATATATATATTTGTATTTAATGAGTACTTATGAATAACATAACCTTTTTCCTCAGTTAGTTCATTAAAGTGAAGATTTTATATAATTTAGCATATAAATAAGTCCTCTATACAATCCTCTGATTTTCAGACACAGGGAGTGAGGTTAGGCACGCAGAATGCTGCAGCAGGTTTCAGAGTGAAGCTTTTTCTGTTGCTTTCCCACTTGTCTGTTCTAGTAGATGATGTTAAATAGATAGCTGGTTCCCATTTTGCTGCTTTCAATGGCTAATTCCTGTTCTAAATTGTGCCCATCTAGAAATGATGGAAAGCCTAAGGCTGAGCAAAGATATACTGACCTGAATGTGTGAATGTGAAAAATGCTTTCTGACACATCACTTGATTATTTTCTTTTGGATTCTAGGGGGAAGGCAGCTGTGTTGTGCCTTTCTTATCTGCCTGACATTCTGGTCACAGGAACTTATGACAAGAAGGTGACAGTCTATGATCCACGAGGTTAGTATTAGTTGTTCGTTTGAATTCTGGAGACTTAACTTGCCACTGCCTGCTTTCAAACAACCATTGTCACTGGAGTTAAGACATATAAGTCAGCATCTTCTTATCTCTGTGGAGCAAGAGCAAGCAGTCAGAAAAAAAAGATTATTCCATCCATCTAAACATTTGATGTTTTCTGTTGCAGAGCTTGGCAGCCATGTTGTGGGTTCTCGCAAATAATTACTGCCACATAGAAGGCTTGCCCATTCGTAAAATGTCTAACATACAGACCAGTCACAAAACACTCATTTACCAGAAAGCAAACTATTGAGGTTGTTCCCATCATTCTCACTAGCCACCCAGGATGTTTTCCACTCATTTAGCATACAGTTATCTTTTTCTAGAAAGAAAGGTCCATTTCTGGACATGGTTGCAGTCATCCACCATTTTTATTTTTCCTGGGGCCAATGTAAAGCCTGGAGGTGCAGTATTCTTGTAAATAACTACCTTGCTTTGTAGCATACCAGTTTCCCATTTATTTATTGTTTGAATTAGTAAAATCTTGTTAAAATTAAATTAGGTGGGGGCAGTAAATTAACCAGCATCAAGAGGCATATTGGTATCCCTGAGCACCACGTTCCCTCTCTACAGCTACAGTTCAATTTCTGAAGACTGCCGTCTCAGTCAGAAAGCTTTATGCAAAAAAATCGTGGTTCCCAACTCTGGTTGCTTGGGTTATAATGATAAGGTGAATTGTTCTAGTGGGTAACACCTGCTACTTTTCTGTATATACAGTGGGGCAAAAAAGTATTTAGTCAGCCACCAATTGTGCAAGTTCTCCCACTTAAAAAGATGAGAGAGGCCTGTAATTTTCATCATAGGTATACCTCAACTATGAGAGACAAAATGAGAAAAAAAATCCAGAAAATCACATTGTCTGACTTTTGATGAGAGAGGCCTGTAATTTTCATCATAGGTATACCTCAACTATGAGAGACAAAATGAGAAAAAAAATCCAGAAAATCACATTGTCTGACTTTTGATGAGAGAGGCCTGTAATTTTCATCATAGGTATACCTCAACTATGAGAGACAAAATGAGAAAAAAAATCCAGAAAATCACATTGTCTGACTTTTGATGAGAGAGGCCTGTAATTTTCATCATAGGTATACCTCAACTATGAGAGACAAAATGAGAAAAAAAATCCAGAAAATCACATTGTCTGACTTTTGATGAGAGAGGCCTGTAATTTTCATCATAGGTATACCTCAACTATGAGAGACAAAATGAGAAAAAAAATCCAGAAAATCACATTGTCTGACTTTTGAGCTGGGACCAAAGTAACAAAGGCTACCATCAGTAACACACTATGCTGCCAGGACTCAAATCCTGCAGTGCCAAATATGTCCCCCTGCTTAAGCCAGTACATGTCCAGGCCCGTCTGAAGTTTGCTAGAGAGCATTTGGATGATCCAGGAGCTGGGACCAAAGTAACAAAGGCTACCATCAGTAACACACTATGCTGCCAGGACTCAAATCCTGCAGTGCCAAATATGTCCCCCTGCTTAAGCCAGTACATGTCCAGGCCCGTCTGAAGTTTGCTAGAGAGCATTTGGATGATCCAGGAGCTGGGACCAAAGTAACAAAGGCTACCATCAGTAACACACTATGCTGCCAGGACTCAAATCCTGCAGTGCCAAATATGTCCCCCTGCTTAAGCCAGTACATGTCCAGGCCCGTCTGAAGTTTGCTAGAGAGCATTTGGATGATCCAGGAGCTGGGACCAAAGTAACAAAGGCTACCATCAGTAACACACTATGCTGCCAGGACTCAAATCCTGCAGTGCCAAATATGTCCCCCTGCTTAAGCCAGTACATGTCCAGGCCCGTCTGAAGTTTGCTAGAGAGCATTTGGATGATCCAGATGAAAATTACAGGCCTCTCTCATCTTTTTAAGTGGGAGAACTTGCACAATTGGTGGCTGACTAAATACTTTTTTGCCCCACTGTAATAGAGGTCCCCAGATTTGTCAGGAGGGGCTGGCCAAAGAGTTCCTAGAGGAAGCTTTACCTTTTCTCTTGCTTTCAGTTATCCTGACAATGAAAGGGCAAATCTCAATGTGGAGAAAGCATGTGTGCGTGATTATAGTTGAGCAAGCCACCAATTTTATAGGATTTATCTTGTGCAGGTGACTGGGCTCTTGTGATGCATCTCTTGGCCCTCTCTCACAGCTGCTCATGCCCTAGTGAAGAGCCGCAAGCTTCACTCCAGTGCAGTCCTATCCCTTGTAGCTGATGAACACTTCATTATCTCTGGCAGTGAGGATCGAACGCTGGTATGTTTTGACAGGCGGACCAATAGTGTGCTTCAAAGGCTACAGGTGAGCTACTTAGCTTCGATCTCTTTTTCCTGGTAAAACTACCCAACAGTTATATGGAAAAAACAAGAAAAATGGAATCCTTAACCTTTCCATACAATTGTTTGTGTTTTTTTCCCCCTAGATTGGCAGAATGCCTGTAATTTTAATCCTGGCTCATGATGTGTGTACACAGATGTGTGTACGCAGATGCCCAATAGTGTTGAAAACTATTTTATTCAATAAGCCAATTTTTTTTAGCAAAGAGGCTTACTAGGGCCTGTATTTAACTGTTTCCTACTAGTGTCAGATTTCTTTAGGGGTTTTTTTTGTCCTGAATGTATCATTTATCATAATATCATTTATATTTAGACATGACATGGATTTCCTGTCCAAACCATCCTTTTGCATTGTAATTGAATGATCCTGTTAAAAACCTGTCATTTGCTTTAAGTCAACCATCTGTGATCTGATACTGTAGACTAAAGTTGGTTTCCAAATTGCAGCTTATGCTACATATAGCTTGGCAATTATATCTCAGTTCATAAATAATTGTCCACTATAGTTTTGCTCATCCCCAGAAGGTTGATACGTAAAGGAAATGGGAATTGCTGTACCTCAAGGGGCTGCTCAAGAGTTGATTCAAGGTGCCAAAACTGCTATCAAGTCACTGAATTTACAAAGCTCAATGATAAACACCTAGCAGATAAACAGATAGTTCACTTGAAACTTATTTCTGTTCTTATTTCTGACCCTGTTGTAGGTCTAGAAATACAAATTGTGGTGCGGATTCTAAACTATGTTCCATCTAAGCCATCTAAGCAGACAGACAAGTCATGATGTCTTCTGAGTGGCACTTGGGTTGGCCTGGGCAACTCTCCAGGGGGGTGGGGGGGGCAGCAATTTCCAAAAAAAGTGTGTAACTTATATTTATAAGCACCCAAAATCATTATTTTTTAAATAGAAGTTACTTCTTTCTCTCTCTCCTTAGCTTTCCCCTTTAGTTCACTTTTTCTTTCCCACTGCTCTGTTCCTTCTTTGGCTGGAGTCCAGCAGAAGATGCCCAGGCTTTGGCTTAGCTTCTGGGTGAGAAGCCTCCAAGTGGGCTTTCTCTTTTTTGCTTTCCCCTTTGCTTCCCTGCTGCCGTTCAGTCCCTCCTTTGGCCTGGAGCTCAGCAGCAGGTCTATGAGCTTCGGCCTAACTCCTGGACCAGAAGCCTCTCCCTCTCCCTCTCTCTCTCCCCCCACTTTTTAAAATGTTTCTCTCTCTCTCTCCCCCTTTCTCTCCTTCCTTTGCTTACTCCTTTGCAAAAACACGTTTTGTTAGCATGTTGCTTTTGACAGCGAGCAGGAGATGTAGTCTTGCGTGCAGACATGCGACAGTCACATGTGCACGCAGTTTAGAGGGAATATTGATTGCAATTCAGATTACATATCAAACTAATCCCAAATCTTGTGGATTTCATATTTAGGTTGGAAAATATTTTGCCCCGCCCTCTAATTGTATTCGCAGTTGGCTCAAGATAACTTTCCAAAGTAGGATAGTTGATTTAAACTACTTACTTGAGTTACTAAAGAAATCCTTTCCTGACAGCTTCTTCTTTGTTTCTGATTGTGGTAATTGTGGAAGGAAGAGTGCACAGCTGGGAAAATGCCCGTGTCTGCTCTTCTCCTTTCTTTATCCTTTTGAAGGACCCCCTGCAAACTGTGGTGAGCACGCCTTTAAAAAATGGCTGGCTGTGACACAGAGGTGGGGGTCATTGTTGGCAGACAGAGAGCTGGAAAGGAAGCCAGAGAACACTGAGGAATGAAACAGCTGAAGGCTATGGAGGATGTTAGAGGCACAGAACAGAGATGTCAGAGATGTTTGGCAGTGATCGACTGCCAAATATACATATAGGTGGTGTAACCGTAAGAAAGAGGTTGTATTGATAGAGCTGAGGAGCAAGCAACTGAGCAGTCCAGAAAGAACACCTATCAGTTAGAAAGTGCAGTGGTGGCAGAGAACATTGGAGGCAGTAGCAATTGCTACAGGGAGGCCCAGAATGTTTGAGGAGATGCAGGACACTCTGGACACCAGCCTGAAAAACAGAACAAGTCTGATAGAAGGAGATAGACATCAGAGTGCAGGAATACAGTAAGAATATAGGAAGTTAGATAAGAAGTAAGCAAGCTAGTGTAAAGCTATAGAACTAGAGTATATTAGTAAGATAATAGATAATGCAAAGCTAACAAATAGTACTAGGATAAGATAGGAGATGGAACATAAGGGTTTAACAATAGGAAATAGGATAGAATTAGATTTCACATATATTTTTCTAATAACAATAAGGAAGAAGAAAATTGTAGAATTTAATATTTACCTGAGACAAAATTAATATGAAAGCTTACTTTTGTATAAAGGTTTTATAATTAACCTCCTGAGCATGGGAATTGTGATGCTTCATGCCTGTGTCTGGTGTCATGCAGAACTGAACCCATGGCAATATTTATCTCTTTTCCCAGTTGGACACATATCTACTTGCCATGTCGTACCAGGGTTCTCAACTATGGGCTGGAGACAATCATGGAATGCTATATGTCTTTGAGAACAATGGAGGGCATTTCCAGCACATTCGGGTATGATAGTGATGCTAGATCATGGAGAGATAGAGAATATTGGTTCTTCTCTAATTTCCATACATAAAACAATTATCCTGTTTATTCAAAGTCTCACTGCTTTTTCTTTCCTCAGTATTTTGATGTGGGTCATCGCTCTCAGATCACTGGAGTCCAACACTCATTGGGTGCACTGTATACAACTTCCACTGACAAGACATTCCGTGTAAGAGTTGTGGTGGTATCTAAGTTGTCCACTAGGAATGAACAGCTCAGTAAATTTCCAGTCTACATCTATTTCACATGACTTCATCAAAAAGTCAATTCTCTTCTGTTTCTGCACTGATTTTTTAAAAATCTGCACAAGAAGTCATATGAAATATATTTGAAAATATGTATTTTCTCACAAAATATGCATTTTTCAAACATATTTAGTTCCTAAAAATGCTGGTGGGTGGTCTCTTTGGACTGAGAAATAAAATAAAATCTAAAGAATAACTGAATTATTTTTTGCCTGGAAGAATTGTTCACGTAGAGTTGTGACTGAGGAGCAAAACAAAACAGAACAAAAAGCCATACCACTGTAGACATAATCAGTGGGAGCAAAATTAAATCTCTCCACTATCTTTTTAAAATATTTGACTGAAAAGTAAAGTAGGAACAAGACCCTTGTGGCCATGAAGTTTCAGCTATACTCCAAAACTTTTGGACTATTTCACCAGCACTAGGGTAGTATTAATGGTTTCAGATAAGGATGATGAAATTCAGTAAAGGCTATTTCATGGTCTTTTCACACTTTGCTTCCAAATCACTGTGTACAGATGAGCTCCTTCACTGCACACTTCCTGGCTTTATCAGTCTCATAGACCATTGTTTTGAGGAGTTGCAGATAATTGCATTGGCATAAATGTTTGGGGACTTTAAATTTTACACAGAGCAAAGTAAAATAAGTTTTTTTTTTCAATTTGTTAAATATGTCTTTTAGGCTTAAAACTCTTGGATTTTTCTTTCAGATTCATGTTCCTACAGATCCACCAAAGGTCATCTGCTCACAGACACACAGCTGTGTGCTAAATGGGGTAAGGACAACAGGATGGAGATGCTGGTAGATGGTGTTCTAGGAAAGGGATGCTGCAGCTGTAAAGGGGAAGGATCCATTCACTGTTGTCATTGTTATTTGGGGTCAAGTGGAATTTTATTCTGGTCTTATTGAGACTGGCTCTGTTTATCATCAATTTATTATTTCTTTTATTTGCAGGTCAGTGTTGAAGGAAATATGGCAGTAGCTGCCTCAGGTGGTTTGTCCTTGGAGGTTTGGAAACTCAGTGTTTGATGACAAGCTGCATACTGATCCATGCTCACCAGTACAGGATCATCAAGTACAGTGCGTTGGATGATTTCCTCACGGGTTCTGGTGTCCTGATGTCTGTTGAGTTGTTGGGGTTTTTAATATGTTCTTTGGGGCTGAGTAGTCAAATGTTGAAGCTTCAGCCTTGCTTGCCCCAGTAGATGTAACAGAGAGGTTTGCACAGAGGCTAGTGTATCACCATATGATTCGCACTTGAACCCTAACCTTAACCTAACCTTTCCTTTTTGGCCACCTCTCTCATTTCATCTTGTGGGGCTGAAACACACATGTGTGTGTACCCTTTGCACCCTCTAGTCCCTTAGACAGGTCTGCCCCACTCAACTTATAGGAGCAGCATCTTCTCTATGGCTTGATGTCTGAGAACTCACTGGCTTATCAGGTGAATAGATGTGTCTGTATAAGCACAGCTCTAAGTATGAAGGGGTGAATTATGGGCTGAGGGGAGGGTGAAGGTTAAAAAGACTATCCAGCTACCCTGGTCTGATGAATGTCTACATTTAATTAAAAATATTCTGCCATAATGGCTGATCAAGAGTTATGTTGCCTTTTTTTCCCCTCTCTTAGCAAGCTAATCTTGTCTTGAAGTATAGTTCTTTATGGGATTTGATTTAGAATTAAGAAATGGAACCCACTAAGCAAGATCATATGGCTAATTTTGACTGTACAACCATTCTCTCAGCTTTGTCACTATTAAATTATAACAAAGACATGCTTTGAGCAAGGTGAACTATCTCTTCAATGACATATGGCTAGGTTCACATATTGTACTAAGCCACATGGCTTCCTTGGTTTTGTTTTAGTGTTGTGTATGAACCATATCACAGTTTTTTATAAAGCTTGGTTTATAGTCTGGCATTATTGCATTAGCCCCTAAGGTTTGTTCAGTTTAACATGATTAAAGTAAACCAAGGGTTAGCATAATGTGGGAATCCAAAATATAGACTGGGATGCCACACAAAATGTCAATTGTTGTATTTGTCATTCATTCATTTATTTGCCAGCTCTTTGGCATTTTATAAGCAAAAATCTAAGGATTGGTTAAATCTTAATGAATCTGAATATATGCATGTAAACGTGCTTTTGAATTATCTAACAAAAGCAAATCGATAAGCTAAAATCCTTCCCTCGTATTTTTGTTGTCTCTGTACTACAGCCAGAATTAGAAATGTCACTAACTCTGAGCTGGACAGTGTCATTCTTTTTCTCCTATATAATAGGGACATTATAATCTGCAGGATAGATAGCAGGAATAATTGCAGTAATAAATATAAAATAAAAATAAAAATAAAAATATATAATTCTATAATAAAACACCTTTGGTTTCATGTGAGTGTCTCAGACTCTACTTTTGCATCAAAAACCCAGCAACTTCAGCACTTAATTTCCAGTTTGTTGGTTTTTGGAAGCAGGAGTGAATATTAGAATGTATAGTCAGAAAACAATCCAAAAGGCTTATTCCTTCAGAAATATGTACAGGACATAATATGATCTGCAGTACTTATAAGGCCCAGCTGGAATTATTGTTGAGTAAGCAGATTGAAAAGCACGCTGTTTGAATCCCACCTTTCACAAGAACCACCCAGAATTGGTGTGGGGATAAAAGGTAGCCCCCGCCCCCCATACACACACTGGTTTGGAGTTGGGTAGCACCTAAATTGAAATAAATAATAAAGACAATATAAAGACCAGACTTTCCTCCAGAAAGTACCCCAAGACTTTTTAAATATTTTGTCTACAAGATGTAACCATTTCTTGACTTCTGGGTGAGGAATGGTGAACTAGTGTGTCTCCAATTGAGCGGAGATGACTGGTTAGGGTCATCTTCAGCAAAGATTGAAGGACCAGCAAGTGGACCAGTCCCACAGAACTGCTCTGGATAAGGAGAGGATGGGAAGTTGCCCACTTGTGCTCTGAATGGCAGCTCCGTGCGAGAAAACCTCAGGACAGCGGTTTCCCATGGATTTGAGCACTGGAAGACAAAGGGAATCATTAAGCTCTCAGATGCGGTGGAGCTTTTTAAAGGACACTGAGTTTGCTAACCTCACTTTTTAATCTTTTGAAAATTACCTATTGAACTATATTAAGGATATTGGACATCTTCAGAACAAGAAGTTTTAAAAGCCAAAAGCTTTTGGTGAGTTTACCTTCATTCTTGAACAAAAGAAAAATTAACTATAAGCTTAAGAACTAAGAAATAGAAAGAAATGGCAAATAGCTAAATAAGAATTTAATTTCAGAAAGATACAGGATAAATGGACTAATGGGCCAGAAAAAATTGGAACCTTAGGACTTTTGCTAAAAGATTTGGGGGAAAAGTAAATTAATTAATAATACCTTTGTGGGAATACCTTTTTGTTTTGTCTATCAAACTAACAACAGAGATTCGAGCCTTTATGATTTCAGAAATTAGACACTAGAGGGGACTAAAGACTCCAGGCAGGAAAACAAAAAGTCTACCTCTCATTTTTGAACTGGAGAATAAGCATTGGATTGTACAAAATGACAGATAATGCTGTGAAATTTGAGTCATTTCAAGACACTTTTGAAGAATGGGGACAGAGACTTGTAGGTATAATGTCAGATACAATGTTTACTTATATGAATGTATTATTTACAAAAGAAGAAAGGAAAGTCATCAAAGAAAATGCTTTGAAAGACCTACAGGATGAAGAGGTAAAACAAGCTTATGCAGATTTACTAGAAAATAAAGAAATTGTGGATTACAAGATAGAGACAGCAGTTAAAGTGGAAATACAAATGACCAGTCAAGATAATAACCTGGATAATAACTTCTTGATGGATTTACAAAAGAGGGTTGTTAAAGCCCTGCAGCAACATCAGTGATGGGAAAAAGAAAGGAAGGAAGATCAAAACGTACGACAGCATTTAAATGGGTCAAAGACTAAGATTGTTAGAAGCAAAAGCAAGGAATGTAAAGCCAGTTCATTTGCCCAGAGTTAAAACAAGGTATAATTTGATAAAGTTCTGGAATCTCTTTACAGACTTTTTGCTGACAACTGGACTGAAACATTAATGATTTATGGATTTGCAAATGGATAAGGGATAAGGGATATATGCATGCAGCCTTATAAGGGGGAAAGAAATATTAAGTTTGCCTGTACTTGTGACGAAGATCAGAGTCATTTCTTTAACTATTTTATTTTTTCTTTAATCTCTTTCTTTTCTTTCCTTCCTTGCACTTTCTATTCTTTTTCTTTCATTTTCTCTCTTCTGAATTTGGCAAAAGGATATTTCTCTTTGTATTTGTATTATTTTGTATTTGGTTTATATTATTTTTTATTATTTTTTAAAATTTCAATAACAATTATTTTTTAAAAAAAGATTAAACCAATTCTCCTATCAACAGATTTTGGGGGGGGGAGGGAAGAAACATACAGTATGTTAGGTCCAAAGAGAATGTTAATTCATTTATTTGTGGCCACCGTATTGCTTCTTAAAATATAGTCATTAAGAATAATTTTTGCACAGAACTTTGGCTGTGTTCATAAGTATACAGAATTTGCCGAAATGATTGAAAAACTGCAAAATGGGGATCTGACTGGTAGGATAGATTCCAGACAGTAAGCAACAAACATTCCCCAAATTGGCAGATTCTGGTTTTTTACAGTGGGACTTGGCTGAAAGTATATTGAATGTTTAATGTTTAATAGAAGATTAATTAACAAGAAATATCCCTTTGCCAAATTCATTTGCCAACTAGAATTCCTGTCCCAATAGAAGAGAATGTAAAATTCCTGTTCCCCCCACCACCACTTCCTAGATCTAAGGTTTTGTCATTGTTTACACTTCCATGTTTGAGTCAAATTTCATCCAGTCTTTAAGCATGCTGTGTTTTAGAAATGACATGGGGCTACATTCATGCACTAAATTCATTTTATTTAATGAACAGTATGATATAATAGAATACTCGGGGAGGAAAAAAATGGGTATGTACAGTTCACGCTTATTGTTCTCCTAAATATAGTGGAGAATCAATTATGGTAATAAACTATCTCTGACCTGGCACATTTATGTGATCTTCATATTGTTTTACATTCATGGAAAAAAACTGTGTTCTATTAAATTCAGAAAGCAGCATATAAAGATCAGAAAGGTATGTTTGAATTAGCGTGAACCTGGAACTGAATTTTCCCATGAGGAAGCACATTTTTTTTTTCTTGAAGAGAAACTAGAGGCTCAATGACACTAAAGGGTGGATCATACTTGGCATAACCCAGACAATATTGTAGCAAGTAACCAGCTAATTTGGAGAATTGTAAGGAGAGCAAGAAAAGTGAGTTATGCTACCCTTAGGTTGGAGTAAGAAAACCCATTCTTGGTTGGAGAAATGGGTGCATGTTGAAATCCTCCATTACTTTAGAGTGAGGGATCTTAAAAGCCTCATAGTCATCTTTCATTCTGAGCTTTCATCAAATAATTCAAAGTACCATAGTCTAGAGCAGATTAGAACTAGAAGTTTATACTACAATTCAAGAATCTTTGGGTCAGATCTTCCATGGGTTATTAGGTCTAGTGCAGTGTGAAGATAATGCCTGCTTTATAGAATTGTTAAAATGAATATGAATATTATCCTTATTACAAATAGGATAGATCTGAGAGAAGAGAGACATATTAAGCAGCAGAACATATTAACCAGAATTTTAGAGAAAATAAACTAATCATTATTAGTGATGTGTCTTAAGCATGCCCCTCTTTTCTCCCTCTTTCTGATTAATAGGTCTGTCTGGAAGAAAAAAATGTTTGGTATAGTTACACTTGTTTCTTCAATGCCACAATCTTTTTTTTCCCCCCTGGGCATCATTCTACCTTGACAGTATTTTTACTTCTTCCAAAAAGGAAAAAGTATTTTTCAACCAACCAAACCAAGCAAACATAAGAAAATAAACTCAGCATTTCTATCCATGAAGTCTTTGCCTGCTTCCTAGTCCACATTTTATAATGGCCAGTGTTTCTTTCATGTGGGTCTTGATGAGAAATCTATTGTTTCTCTCAAACCTTCATTCCTAGAAGGCTTATGATGTGTAATTACCTGCATGTTCTGCAGTCCATCCTCAGCCAGCAGCTGTTCTGATACTTGGCACTTCCAACTGCAATTGGTTAAGCTCCCTGCTGATATCAAAGCACTCCTCAGTGGAACAGAAATCCTGGCACAGCAGCAGAAGTTAATGGCATTAAGGCATTTTAGACACCATCTTGGTTGTCAGATGAAAGAAGCCATATCTTGACTAGGAATGGGCAGTTCTGAACTGGTGTCTTCTGAAAAACAAATGTATTGCTTTTCTTTCTCTCAATAATCTTATCTGCAGATCAAGCATTTAACTCAGCTTAAAGCTTACCTCTATAGCAAGACTTAGCACAGTGTGACAGAATTGGTCCTGGAATCCTAATGTTCTAGACTCTAGTCTACTGACAATCTAAAATACATTGCTGCCTGTGGTAGAATGTCAGATGGCATTTCTCCCTAAATCAAGGTACTGTTATTCAAGGTTAGATGAGTAATTTTCATAGGAGGCAGAAAATACTACAAGAATTTCTCCTTCAGAGTTGAAATAAATTTCTAATAACAATTTTCTGCCCTAACCTGACAGCCCAAACCTGCTACAACCTAACTGTAGTGCATTCCCTATTTTTGATCAGTAAATCAAAAAAACTTATAGTACATACCTCTGTTGTAACCTTTTGAAAACCCATTTGTTTGCTACTAGTATAGGTGGAGCAATAGTTGCAATGCAGGCATTCCTATTACTGTCACTCAGTTTAATGAAGTAAAGTTTGATTCCTCCAGACTTCACTATTGGAAGGTCAATTATATAGACACCTCATTTTTCTATAGATATCTTGTATCTTAGTAGGATGTTGAGAGCTGCAGGCTGGGATAAAAGACTACTTTTAGGTAAATGGCCTTATATTCTCTGTATTTTCTGATTTTGGAGAACAGGACAAGTTTAGGTCTAGTTACTTCCGTAATTAACTAGAGGAAAAGATTGGTTCATTCACCTTTTGAGTATGAATGGCAACCCCCGGTCTTTTGAAACGATTCATCTTTCCTAACTTTCTACATCTTAGAACGATACTTCTTTCTAAACTAAAACCACCACCACTGCTCCATTTTCATCTTTGCTTCTACTTTGTTTCATCTCTGCAATGATCTTGGATTCCTTTGAGTGCTGTTAGCATGTACATATCAAAATGTCTGCATGAAAATAGCATTTACTGAGCGTGTGAACAGAAGACCTATCTCATAATAATGAATTGATACCCTGCTCCTAATCACTTTATTCACCTGGTATTAAATGAAGAGTCAAAGTAGAAGGACCTGAATTAGATATGGTTCCCTACTTTCCAGAGACTAGAGACAAAATCTTTACTGATACCAGTTTTCATTTTATGGGAATCTTGGCCAAGGTGACTTTAGAAGGTCCACTGCTCCTGAGGACAGTTGCCATTAACTATTGCTTATATTATTTGAGCCATAGTGCAGCAGTAGGGGCCCAAAGCATGGAGATACTACCTGAATTCAGTCCTGCCAGAGGATACTAAGGGCTAATTATGTCACTGTTCTCTGTCATTTTCTTGACATGAGAAACTGTTGACTTCATCCCATTTCTATGCTTAGAAACTGGTTAGTCTGAGATATCAAAACAGTATAGTTCTGCCACCATACCTATGCAGTAGTCTTTAAAACTAATAGAATGCCAGTTGTCCCTGCCACGCCTTCTACTATCCTGTGTTCCAATTAATCCTTTGTGTATTACATACTGACTCAGCAACAGAGAGTTTTGGTTTCCAACCTGTAAGGCTGGTTTAAACAATATGGGAGAACACATGATCCTACAGGACATGATGCAATAACTAAACTGCCCGGTTGGGTAACTAATTGCATTCCATCCCCCTCTCTGTGTCCAAGTAGCTATTAGTATTTATAAGAACCAACTTGTGGCATTAACTTCAGAAATTAAGTAATAATGAGCAACCCAGAGATGGATCCCTACAGAAATGTGAAGCTTATTTGCTTTAAGCAAGTAACCATTTAAAAAAATGTAGAGGTGCAAAAGATATTCCATATAAAACAATTTCAAGAGAACAGCTTTGGAGGGCATTTAGTATTTTCTACACAGTAATGTTATGAAATAAGAGAACCACATGATAGAATTTTCTTTCTCACCCAGAGCCACAGTTGATTGCTGCAGATTGTTCAACTTATCAGGAGTAGAGTCATCTATAAATCTTATTTAGCATTAAAATACCTAGATACAATAGTGATGCATACTTTTGCATTTTGCATTTTTTCTCTATCAGCCTTCCTCAACTGGTGCCTTTCAGATTAGTCATGCTTTCTGGGGATAGTAACAGCTGTAAATTCAATGGATTTTAAAGGCATGAGATTAAGGAAGGCTTATTCCTTGAATGTTAGGTACTTCAACTCTTTTTTTACTACAGCAACCACAATAGCTGAAACCGAAATACCATATTGACCTTAAGTAGCTTGTTTCTGGACTGGTTTCTTTGAGATCAGTTCTCTTTCTAATTACTTTTTGAGCAGCAGAGAATAGCATGAATATGAGATTTGAACAATAAAAATACATCTGTTTCTTATAATTTTATTATTCTTCCTATAGAAAAGCATCTTGGAGCAGTTTGGAAGATATAAAATACACAACAAAAGTAAAAAAAAGTATATACAAAAAGGAAAACAAAAGCAGAAAAAAAAACCCAACCAACTTTAATGCAGAGGCAGCCTAGGTAAAGAGATCCATCTTCTCAAAAGCACGTCAAATATATAACAGTAGTTTAAGATCTGAATTAAACATCTGAGTGGGGTGTTAAAATGTATTTTTAAATGCAGGTAGCCACAGGGCATCTTGAAGTCACAGGAGGAGATACCTCTTGATGCTATGTCATACGTTCCTACAATAAAAAAAGATGTTTCTACTTAATTTACATAACGGGTGAAGTCTTGAAATGTAGTAATTCTGAGAGGAGAGTTTAAATTTATTTAGCATTTATACAATTTGGCTTCAGTTGTTTGAATCCAAAGGCAGCAAATACACTCCTGGGAAAACAGTAGCTTGAACTATTCACACCATTCTCTTTCATTTCTGGAATTCAGCCTGAATTCCACACTGCCCCCCAGTATGTAACCTTTTTCATTTCTTCTAATCCAGAAACGCCCAATTTAAAAATCGCTATACTGCTATTGAAGGAGGATGGGCTTCCTAGAAAAGTTCAAGCTATGTTCCACCTGATCCACCCCTTTCCTGGACAACAGCCTTTTAAAAACATTTTCTTCAATAACTGTCATTAACAATCTGTGACATCAAGACACTTTTTCCAGTTCAGATGCAAAGTTAAAAAGACATTATGTGATAGTTGACTAACCAAGCAGATATAACTAACAGCACCGAGCACTTCTGAACATTAGCAATCAAAATATTTTTTCCTGTTCATCTTTAAACAGGTAAACATCTAAAGGTCAGGAAGAAAACTGATCCTCTCTTTTTGAGATTACTTTATTTTCTTACAGTGACACTTTCAATTAATGCATTTGTCCAAGTGAAGAATCAGGACTAGTGCTTGCTTATATAGTTCAAATACATGAACCACAGAAGCTTACAATAAACAATACCCATACATCATTTAAACTGTATTTTCATTTCTTGTAATCCAGAAACACCCAATTTTTAAAAAGGAACATTTTACTTGGACACATGGCTATAATATACAGACTGAATTAAAAAATACTGTCACCCAAAGCAAGGAAACTTTTAAGTCCTGAAAGCTCAAGGATTTTCCATAGGATGAGATCCTGTCTTACAGATTGCTTCTTCTGTATAACCAGCCTGACTGAATGCTGAGTCTAAATTATGTCCCATCCTTCCTCCTGAAGGCAAAGTACATAGAACTGTAGTGTTCCGTGCATCAGAGAGGCCCATCATCCCGCATCTGCAATCCTGCTCAAATGAAAGCAATGCTAGTCAGGCAGGCGCCCCTTCCTCAGCTGTGTAAGATTCTTCCCTCCAACACTGGACAAGACCCTCTGCGGCTGTGAGCAGGCAGGTTTCAGCTGGGTGGAAGGACAGTGACTGGACAGCAGTATTGCACACTGGCAAGGCCAGAACAAGGGAGCCCTGTGGGGAAAAAAAGGACAAACTGTAGCTACATGGGTCACAAAACTCACAGAGGACAGAAATTACATACAGATATATTATCTGCACAACTATTATCACCGCATAGGCAAGTATGGGGAAAATCTGACTTTCAGGGCTGTAGGAGGTTTGCTTCAACTGCTTGTGACAATGTCTTCTCATTAACCGGCATGAGTTTAGAGAAGAGGGTTGGACTAGGGACTAGGACAGATAAATCACTAGCCTTTTCTCCAGCACATTCTGGTGAACAGAGCAAGGCCAGTTATTTTAAATGAATAATATTAAGAAGAAATTGTCCATGTTTGATAATCAACTAAATGGAAAGAAATGCTACATGGCTCAAGAATTTCACCAGGCAGGAGAGAAAAACCTGTATTGATTCTGCTACTCTCCTGCTTATAAGTAGTTCCATTTAAACAACTAAGACCAAATGAAACAAACACCCAAAACAACAACAACAGATATTCCTGCTCTCAATTTAGATGTTTGATGTTTCCTATTGATCATTACTGGGTGCTGGGGAAAGAAGGTGGCTGCCTGCTTTGTTTCCAGAAAAAAAACAGTCCTCTCCAACCAAGTAGAATTCTGGTTCTGCCTCAATGACTGGCTCATTGAAAAGTCACATGGCTACCTCAGAAGAAAGTCCTTGATTTTCCCAACCAATCCCATTCACCTCAACCAGATCCCAGAAATAGACTTTCCCATCCTCTGAGCAGCTCCCAATATGTGTGTCTCTTTCACTCAGGCAGCAGTCCATCTTGTAAGTTACATTCTTGTGGCCGGTAAAGCTGGAGATACAATTGGGAGAACAAGGAGATTATTCCTGCCCATCTTAGAACCCTTTTCCCCATCAAGCTACCTGAAGCTGCTACCAATCCTTCAGTGAGTAGGACATTAATTAAAAAAAGGACAGAGTTACCAAATTTGAAACAAACTGATTCATAGCCACAGAAGATCTTTACTATATACATAAAAATCTATTGTATAAATACATCTTTTTCTCTAACTTAATAATTAAGGGGAAATGTCTATGCATTTTTAAAATACGTGTATTTAAAGCAACAACATCCTGCTCTTCAGCACACATTCATACTTCTGTACTGGGAATAGCTGGATTCAACCTTAATCCAACTGCTAAAGGAAGCACCACAGTTAAGAATGAAAAGTGTTTGCTTACTCTCCTAGTAGTTCGCCTGTATCCTTGTCCAGCAATCGCAGTGTAGAATCCAAGCTAGCAGCCAATGTACATTGCCCATCCTTACTGAAACATATACAGGTAATGGGGCCTATAATGAAAACATGGCAATGCTGGATGTTATTGCTTCAAGCAGTGGACATAAGGGTCTATGTGCATAAAGAGGAGAGAAACTTGGTAAAATCCTTCAGAACCTACTCAAAAAGAAAAAGGGAGGAATAGTGACTTGCAGGGATTATGCCAAGTATGCGCTAACTATTGTCTTGAGAGTATGTGGATGCATCACAGAGAAAATCTATGAGTTGACAGTGACAATGATTATGGGACTTGATGGCACATAATCATCAAATGTGGATGCAAGCCTGAAGATACAATTCATATCCTTGCAGACGCTTTTCAGTTTGAACCTAATGGAAATCTACTGAAGAGAAGATGAAAAAACATGAGCTACATGTCAAGCACAAGACAGGTAAAGGCACCATATCCCACCATAGAGTGACAACTTGGAAAATGTTCTTACTTCACCAGATTAGCTGATATTCCATATATGAAACTCACTTCCAATGTAGTCTGAGTAGAGCTCTCCAGCACGGAGGTCATAGCGTCGGACACGTCCATCCACAGAACTGGGAAAGAACAGAGCAACATTGTTAAAAGAATACTCTGACCCTGAAATCTCAAATGATGCACTTCAAAAATATTTGTTCGCAAACCAAAACATGTATGTCCTTGTACCATAAGACTTGCTATGAGGAAGCTTGGATTATGGAACTGTTAAAGTTCCCAATACAATAGTCTACAGTTTCATCTTCTCATCCTTTAGCAGAAACTTTATTTTAGTTTCTGTTCCAAAAGGAAGAAAGTTATTTTTAAAAAATAAAAGCACACATGGAAAGGTTGAGAATATTTAACATGTTCTCTAAAAGGATCTACTCTGGGCTTAGCAGAGCACCAAATTTGCCCTTTCCAATTCAAACTTCATCCTATTCTTCTTTACCCTGTAAGAATTTCATAGTCTGAGACTTTCAGGCTGGAGATGCCATCTTTGGCTTCATCCAAAATTTGGATGGGATCTGGTCTGCGTGAGCGGCAATCCCAGCAACGGACACTGGAGTCTATGGAACCTGCAGGAAAGCAAGATGCATACTAAATAAAGCTAGGATGAATAATTTAGAAGCAACATGGAAGGCAAGGCAAGATTTCTTACCTGAAAGAATTACAGTGGCCTCCTCATTGAACTGGACACAATTTACCTTCTGTCCATTAAAAAGAAAGTATAAAAAGATTAGGGATTGCTATTGTTCCCAAGTTATATCTAACTTTCCATTCTTGGGAGTGGAACAGTGCGTACAAGTCTGCATTCTCTTTTCCCATTCCCCAGTGTCCTTCAACACTTCAAGTACAGTGGTACCTCAGGTCACAAACACTTCTGTTCACGACCAATTCAGGTCACGAACACCACCGTTCGCAAAATTTTGCTTCTGTTCGCGAATGCCAGATCGGGTGACGAACAGGATCCGCGGCCATTTTCCCTGCCATGACACATGGTCGTGGCTTCCTGTAGGGAGGACGACTCTCCCTCCAAGCAATAACCGCCTCCCCACCCGCCTTCCTGTCCTCCACGCCAGAAGTCGCGTCGAGCAAGGTTAGCGTTCTCTCTCTTCGTACTGTACTTTGTGTCATATTTTTGTGGTTTAAAAAAACAACAACATATGGTTCAGAACGGATTAACCTTCATTACACTGAACCTTATGGGAAAATTTGATTCAGGTCGCGACCAGAGTCGCGGAACGAATTAAGTTCGTGAACCGAGGTACCACTGCATTGCAAACTTTTGCAGTAGCTGGAATTCCAAACATTGCTCTCCATTATTATTTCATCTACAGCTTTACAAAGCATTTGAGGGCAAAATGCATTAGTGTGAAGCATCCTTTTTCAAACTGCTGAGGCAACCATATCCACCAGGAAGCTCAGCATGACCACTTCAATATCTTTCCCTGGTTGTCACTGCATGCATATGGATTCAGAGCTACTCTGCTTTGCCAACTGACCCAGTAGAACTTTTGTCTGTATATGCTCACAGACAACTTCAAGGAGAGATGCCTGGTTCACACCTATGTACCTTTGCAAAGCATCTTTCAAATGTTTTCACAGCTGTAATTCCATCCCTCACCCCAGCTAGTCAAACCTCCTACATAGTTTCATAACTATTAGGTATTATGCTTTTCTTTAACTACTCCCTTCATCAGATACTGTAGGTTTTTTACCACTCCTACTTATTACCCACCCACTATAATCCTTGGCCAGTGACCCCAGTATCAGGCATATACATGTATATGGTTTACATTTTTCCAGTAAGACACAAACACAAGTATACTGAACAGAAATATATTAAAAGTATTATTCCATTTAACTAGCTCATGAAAAGAACAATAGTCTGTCAAAATCATATTCCCAAGTTAAAATACCACAGCAGACCAAAGACTGCTGCATGCACATGACAAAGACTTTTGTGCACAGAGGACCTAATCATCCAACTAGAGTACACTGGGTGAACAGATGAACCCTTTGTAAGTCTTGAAAAGACTTGTATATTCCTTAAGTGAATATACCCGCATAATCCAAGGATTAGGAACTCCATTACTGGGCATCTGCCTATGTGTCTCAGAGCAGATGTGCTACTGAACTCCCCATTTCTTATTTAGAACCTGAACTTAAACCCAGTCTCCCCTCAAATAGTGCAAGACAACTGAATCTATTTGTGAAAAAAACCTTAGGTCATGCTCATACTGAATCCTACAGACCATGCTGAGGCTTACACTTTATAGCATTGGCTTATCATTGTATGACAGCACATATAAGTAGATACAGGTGCAGTTTATGGTGTGCATAACTGCTGAGCAAGCAAAAGACTGCATTTTATAAAGGTTCCTCTTTTTGTAAGGTTTCTTTTTCTATAAGTACAGTACAAAGCTTAAGAAAATAAAATGATGCAATGGCTGAAGAAATACATAAAGGCCCAATGATTAAAGCAAAAAGTGAAACATTATGTGCTAGAAAATACTGATTACAATGATCCACATTTCTAAAAAGCCAATTAAAGATCACAACCGGTTATAAATCAATATCATCAGATTTAAATCATGGAGGTGCTTATGGAAAAATATGTTGAAATGCTGAAGCTATTGCAGCAAATATTCTAAGCAAATTCACTATTAGACTTAGACTCTTTTTCATCCATTTCTTATGTATAAGACCAATAATTCCTTGTTCAGCAAGCCAACTGGGGTCTTGTACTTTCCTCATTTGAGACCTCCAATTCCCTGTTCCTATAAACTTGTTTTCTTTATTCATGTCTCTACTAAAATTTCTGACTTATCCCAGAAAGAGTTATGTTAATTTTAAATTCCATCCAGCCTGTGTCTCCCATTATAAACTTCTTGTCTTTCATAGGGTTTTCTGCCAACCAGAAAAAACATCAGACATTCTGAGGCTCTCAGAAGCAGAACACATTACTGCTATCCTCTAAAATGGAAACTCGGAGGAATTCAAGTTTCAAAAAGACATGAATCTTCCCATTTTCCAGACATCCCAAAAGACAAAACACGTCTTACCCCTGCATGGCCACGGAACTTGCGAATCACTTGGCCTGTGGCAACATCCCACAGCACAACTGTTTTATCTGCTCCACATGAACAAAGTTGGCTGTTATCAAATGACCTATGGAAAACAGAGGTAGATAAAGAAGGGAATGGGAAAACCAAGAGAAATAACTTTCCTTAACCATCTAAATCAATAGAGTAGTTTTCTTTTTAAGAGCTGTATATGCAAGTCTTTCACTGTAATGTGTGAGTGCAGAACATATACTGAGGTTCTCAAGTTTTTTAAATGCAAGTTTCCTATCACTTTGACAGTAAAAAAAGGTTTGAATGAGTGGGCAAGATTTTAAAAATATGGCTAATGAATATAATTTCCTTGACAATTACTGTATCATTTTTTTCATTGCCCAAACTTCACAGAAAGAGTTTTATATAAGAGTAGTAACTTAAATTGTTTAATTTCATACTGAATGTTTGAGATAAACTAGCTTTGTTAATTACATTATGGAGTAGTTATTGTCATGTTTATTTTTAGTTTATTTTTATTTCACTATGGAATTTTACATTGTATTTTGCAAAATAATAACTTTTGTAGACCCCCATCCCCATCACCTAATCCATTTATCTTAAACTCTCTTAAGGCATTTCACAGCAACATGCCTCCTTTTTTTAATCAAGCAGATCCGTCTCCCCTAGCTCTTACCCTGCAGCATCTAGGACTTCGTAGCCATGGCCACTGTATGTCTTGAGGAGAGTTCCTTTGTGCGGGTTCCAAAGCTTGAGTGACTTGTCACTGCCACAGGTGAGACAGTAATTTCCATCCACTGGTAAAAAGAAAAGTCAAGTCTCATTAAACATTAGTTGAGCAAATTCCAGGGAATCCCTGGAAGACAGTCTGTTTAATTTCTTCTTGAATGATGCAGATTCTACTGTTCATTTTGCAGTTTCAAACTTTCTTACCCAACAAGCAAGATGCATCTCTCACCGAGCTTTCTTTTCACAATCATTATGTCTGTTTTCTTGGTCTGTTCACGAGTTACTAACATTTTACAGTTGTACACTATTATTTTTACATAAATTTGCGTCTCAGTTTTCCCTAGTTCTAATAACTCAAAACTACTATTCCTATTTTATGGAATCAAAAATACACTCACCGTTGAATCTCACTGCTCTTATAGCTCCTTGCTTACATTCTAGTGTACCAAGCAATTTTTGGGGAAGCTCAGGCTTCTTGGGTTTGGGTTCTGGAAAGGCCATAACACAAACGTAGCTTGATTGCTAAAAAGATCTTTCTATGTGCAAAATACTGAACACCCACACCAAAACCTCTAGAATATGGAATATCCTAAGGCAGACTGATGTGTTAGAACTATGTTGCTTCTGGAATTTGTTGCCTCTGGGATTACACTGCTGCATTAGAAAATAAGAGACACAAAGAAAACATTTATCAGTTGCAATCATGATTTGAGCAACCAGATTTGTTTCAACAGATAACATATCAAAATAGATTATTTTAATCAGTGGCTATCTAGTAAACAAAGTCAAACATCTAGTATACATTTGCTACACAGAAGCAATATGAATATCCCCATGTTGTAAAACAGATTTGGGAAGTTGCTGAATAACAACATGCCAGTCCTCTTGAGAAGCCTGTTGGCATTGTCTCATTTCACACTCCTTGTTATCTTTACAAGTCTATCTTGCTGAAGTGTATCTAGGGCACCTTAAACTTTCAGAAAAGTCTGCTGAGAATGCTCTTCTTTCAAATTCTTTGCAGGTTTACTTCTCTAGACATTATACCAACATTTCATTGTTATTTTTGGTGCCTTCTAATATAGTAGCTGTATCAGGGGTGGGGGTGGGGGAACCAAGGATTGAAACAATTTTTTATTAGACCAACTGAAGATTCACAGAATAGATACAAGCTTTTAAATGTCCAAAAAATATCAGGCAAGATGACTAAAAATTCAGGATAAAGCAGGGAGGGGAAGAAACATTGCGGTTGATATTTGACTAGGGTTACAAACATCCGGACCACCACTAGGTGGCAGCAATGAGCGAGCCAAATCTTTTTTGGCTGCCATCGAATGATGGTCCGGACTTTCGCAGCCCAGATCTGCAGCCCTCGTTTGGTCTGTAGCAGACGATGCTGTTAGATAGAAAGTCTCCGGACATTAAATTCCGGAGTTTTATCAGGTAGAAAATTTGGGGGTGGGGGGTAGGCTGTACCAGGGATCCTTTCAAAGCTCGATTTTTGGAAATATAAGCAAAGCCAGCTATTGAAATCAAATCTGTTTCCTACACAGCTGCCGCCTCCTTGAACCACGGAACTATTCATGTGGGAAAATAGTTCACATTTCTTAGTAACCTCTTGCAGCTTTTACTTACGAAATAGCAAAAAGAAAGATTATAGGAAAATACAGGCGTCAACTCGTCAATTTACTCCTCCAGTCTAGTTTCATTAGTTCCACCCTTTCAGCATAGTTTCTCCAGGCGAGAAAGGAAAGCTTCGACATTCCTCCTCCTCCCACCTCTTCCTCGTTCAGAAATTTTAGTTTCAAGGCCTTTCGAGTCAACACCAGCGTGGACTTATAGGCCGGAACTAAAATGCCTAAACTCGAGGGTGTTACACTCTTAATCACCCCCCCGCGGCACTGAAGGAAGCGGAAGTTGCTGCAGCCCGAAGAAAGTCGGTCTCAGTAGCCCGCGGCAAAGTGGGATGTCTAGCAACAATATGGCAGATCCGCGGCGTCCGAACCGCATTCTCAGGTCAGCTGTAGTGTGGGATTGGGAGTTGGCATGGTAACGTCACGAATTGGCCCCGGAGTAGCTGTAGCACGGAAGGATATGGAACGGACAAGTCACGAATGATGGCGAGTGACTTGCCTGGGGTCACTATGGCAACATCATAGCGAAGTCGTGAGAGGGGCCTGGCTACTGTCATTTTAGGGATAGCGATGGATAAAATACCTGCCATGGTAGAAAAGGGGGACTAGGGGCAAATATTGCGAAAGGGCAGATAGTTTCAAACGATTAAAGTAGGCCCTGATTGTACGCCAATACCGTAATACCCATGTGTAACCTGGTGAGAGCGAGAGGTTATTTACATATTGGTTCGATTTTGAAAGGTCAGGAAGACTTTGGCCTTGCTAGTTATAGGTGGGTTTGCACAGGGCTGATATTATTATTATTTTTTAAATAAAGAATAATAAAGTACTGGGTAAGGGTAAAAAAGCATACAAAATGGCATGAGCAGTCTGCCTCGGTAGAGTCGTGAGTCCTGTTCAAAAGGTGCAGTGATGCTGTAATTTGCATAATCACATTTCACACATCATATTTACAACTCATGCCAGTGGAAGACTGGAACTTTTCCTGAAAAACGGAATGCTTTGAAGTGTGAAAGTATGATTTACTTTCAAGAACTAAGTCTGTATGCCCTGTAGTAAATTAGTAGCTAACTTAACTCCCAGTTCCAGATACAAAAATCCAGCAACTATTAAATGACAACAAAAGAGTTAGGGTTTTCTCTTTCTTTGTAGCCCAGTGCCTTTAACTCTAGCCTAACTGCTTATAGTAGTTGTACTAAATGGTGATTATCTAGAAAGGCCCAAGGATACTTAATAGTGCAACTTCAAAGTGAGGATAAATTGATACCTGAATAAAGCCTGAGAAAACCATCACATTGTTTGATATGGCTATTTCAGACTAAAGCTTCAGTTCAGAGAAAACTATATTGATGTATTGAAATAAGACAGGCATGGCTGTAGTCCATTTATTTTAATAGTGCATTATTAAAATATGAGTGGCTTTCCATTTGGTTGAGGCCTTATTATATTACCTGAATGTACATGAGGGAAGAGACAATATATTTTCCTTACATACCATTTTGGAAGTGTTAGTTTCCTGAATTATAGAATACATGCAATGAAATTTAGTAAAAACAAACAGTAGTAGTAATTATGGCTTGAGTTTCAGGAAATAAGTTGGAAAACAGAATGAAGAAATAAAGTGGAGTGGTTGCTTGAGTATGAATCTCTAAAGTAGAACTACTGAACTGTCAAATACATTTTTCATGGCTAGATTTTTTAAAATGCCATTATTTTTTATAAATTTTGTTATTGCTTTTTAATTATTAACAAAAAAGAAAAACAAAACACAGAAATAATAATACACTGTCAAGAAGAAAAACATTAAAAAGTGCTATTACAAAAAAGTGACAAAAATACAATAAAAGAAATAAAAACCATTATACCATTATAACAGTAAATAGTTACAAATCTATATATGCTTATCTAACGCAAATATTATTCAGATGCATATATTTTTCCAATACATTTATGTATCATTTTTTTTAACCTGTATTTTGTATAAATGAGTTCCGTATTTCATTATATTTCTCCATACAAAGTCTATGTCTACAGGCAATCTGCTTGTAAGTAGCAAGTGCAATCAGGTCTTCAGTCCGTTGAGTGAATGAATGAATGGGGCCATGCATTTATCTTTCCAATGCTGCAGTATCAGTCTTTTGGCCATATTAAGGGAACAGCGATTCCATTTATGTTGTCCAGATGTCAAATTCCATGTACTAGATATATAGTTCAAAAGAATATTATCCTCTGAAAATTTTAGCTTTTGTTGCACAATCATATTTATATAGTCCACTATGTTCTCCCAAAAAGTAGTAAGTATAGGACACTGAAAAAACGTATGCTTTAAAGAGGCATTGTCCTTATTACATCTCCAAGAAAATGCTGTTTTTGACAATCTTTTTCTATACAAACGTAGTGGAGTCCAGTAAATTCTAAATATTATTTTTTGTTGTATAAGTCATAGTTTAAAGTTTACAACTATCTGGGATTAGATGTCCAGAGTACAAAACAAACTAAATTTTTCTCTTTACTTTAGTTTCCTGCCTGTATCTGTATCTACTTTGCTTATATCTATAAAGAACAATTCCAAAAATATGTGGAAGGAGGGAGAAAAGAGCCCTATAATTTTTGTATGTTTTTTACTTATGGAAGCCCCTTTTGTCAAGGGAATCCAATAAAAAAAGTTAATTCATCTTGATTTCGGTCTTAAATGTCAGCTTTGCCTACACAGGTAGTCCTTGGCTTACACCCATTTGTTCAGCGACTGTTCAGTGTTATGGCGGTGTTGAAAAAATGGACTTACAACCGGCCCTTGAAGTTGCAGCCGTCGCAGCATCCCCACGGTCACATGATTGCAATCGGGGCACTCAGGTGCCTGGCTCATGATTACAACATTGCAGCAAGCCATGTCACGTAATTGCCATTTGCAACCTTCCCTGCCAGCTTCCCACAAGCAAAGTCAATGGGGAAGCCGGCAGGGAAGGTCACAAGTCACCCCAGTAAGTTGCTCCTGCCACTTTTTCTCCTGAGGAGCTTGCTTCAGAATACAAATCTCTCATATTCCTTAGCAACCCCCACCTGTACTCCATAGCACTCACCTGCCCGCAGCACCTCTCTGCCCTCCTGCAGCCTCCGCCAACCCATCTGAGGCCTTCGCTGGTCCTCCCGCAGCTTCCACTGACCCGCCCAAGGCCTCTGCCGGCCATCCCACAGCCCCTGCCAACCTACCCGCACTCCCTAGTGCCCGCAGCACCCTCCCACCCCCCGTGGCAGCCACACAAACCCCTTGCACTCCTTATCTGGGACTTCCGCCTCTTCCCACTTAATGATCCGCGTGACCTGGGGTTACAACAGCAATTGGGACCGCAAGGATTGCCATAGTTAAATGATGTGGTCATGTGATATCATGCTTTACGATCACATTGCTTATTGAAGGCAATCCCAGTCCCAATTGCTGTTGTAACCAAAAGGGCTACCTCTATGAGGCTTATATTTTGAAGAGTTATAGGTAGTCCTTGCTTAATGACCATTCATTCAACAACTGTTATGGTGGTACTGAACAAAGGGTCCCCAAAGTTATTGCCATTTTAGTGTCCCAACGGTCACATGATCAGAATTTGGATGCTTGGCATCCCACCTGCACTTATGACTGCAGGGGTGCTTCAACTCACCCCACCCCCTTATCTCCCCCCTATCTATGCCCTTTTGGTCCCTTGCATTCCATGGCCCCTGCCACCCTATCTGACCTTCTCCAACTTCTTACTCCCACTGTTGACCAAGCATGCCCTGCCTGGCCCTTTGTGAGGCAGCTGCTGGCTGCATGAGGCTTTCTTCCCCAGGTCACACATGGCAGTTACCTCACGAGATTTGGGGAAGATGGCCTCATGTGGCCAGCATCTGCTTTGTGAAGGGCCAGGGCAGGCATGCTTTGTCAGCAGCGGCAGCAAGAAGACAGCAATGGTCAGCTGAGGCGGTGGAGCACAGGGCAGCAGGGGCCTTGGAGTGCAGGGTGGTGAGGGCGACTGCGGCTGGGACTAGGTTGGAGTGGCTGGGGCTTCCCATGGCAGCTGGGGCTTCACATCACGCCACAATGCTGGGCTGGGAGGGCTGAGGCTTCCAGGGGAAGCTGCAGCTTCACACTGTGCTGTGGCTCAGGGGCTTCTTGCAGCTCCAGAGCTGCAGCACACCAAGAAGCTCCTGAGTTGCAGCGTGGTATGCAGTCCCAGAGCCGCGCAGTTCTGGGGCTGTTTGCCACCCTGCAAGATAGAGTGCAGGGTGGCCAAAAGGGCAGAGATGGAGGGGAATAGGCAGTTGGGGGAGGCAGTCCCTTACCTTGGAAGAACTGAGGCTTGGGACTGGGAGGGATCAAGCCTGGAATGGCTTGGATTGGGGTGGGTCCTCAGTTGCTTTACAGACCTGCGAAGGTCATAAATGTGAGGATTGTTCATAAAGTTACTTTTTCATCACTGTTGTAACTACAAATTCTCACTAAACAAGGCAGTCGCTAAACAAGGACTACCTGCACACAAATTTTATAGAACTTAACCTACAAAGCTTAGCTCAAAATCTTGGCTTTCTTTTTTGACCATATTAAAAAAAGACTCCTCTCCTATTGTTTGGCTTTTTTTATTTGGTTGAAACAGAACAGCCTTCATTATAATTTGGAGAGATCTTTTTGCAGCGTGATGAGGTATAACTTGGTGGAGAAAGATACTGAACATTGATGCCATTGCTTTTTTCAAGCTGTTGACTTTGAACTTGCATGAAATTTTATTTTTTGCAGGGAAAGTACAGTTTATGTTTTGCTCCTCAGTTTGAAATTGTAGATAGAATATAATGTAATACTTTTGCTTTTCCCTCTAATGAGTTTTCATCTGCAGATACAAACCTCCAACTACAGAAAACAATCCTACCTTGGAAGATCCCACACCAGATTATATGAATCTGCTAGGAATGATTTTCAGCATGTGTGGCTTAATGCTGAAAGTGAGTATTAGAATAACCAGCTTTTGACCTAAAGACATCAAGAGCACTATCTGAACAAATCAAGTAAAATGTTATCTATTTTCATATTATAACTACTGCATTGCTGTTGGATGGTATAATCCCACCATTTTGCAATAAGAATTGGATTATTTTTTATAAGCTCCAATTTTCCTTCTTCCCTGGGTTGAATTGGATTAACTACACAATATCTCAGTTTTTTGTCTGGAGGTTGAGCCATGGTAACTGGACTTCTTTTCTTTTTGGTAGAGAGGTTTCCCTACTTGTCCAAGCAGCTTCAGTCTAAAAAAGTTGGTTAGGGGAACCCCATAAAAGTCTTCCAGGGTGGCTGTGTTTCTTACTAGCATGATGGGCTCATTGAGGGACAATAGGAGATGTGATTAGTAGAGTCTTTGAGATGTAGATATTTTACTCCTAATCCCTCACTCATCCCCAGGGGGATGTTGATTGTTGCCTTCCTGGTGAACTTTTGAGCTGTTCTTAATTTTCTTGAGGACTGTAGAAGTCCCACTCTTCTAAAAATGGAGAAGAAAGCTCTCAGCTCTTTCCAGGGAATAACACCAACCCATTGGTTCGGGTTTGTGGATGACACCTGGGTTAAAATCAGAGTACAGGAGGTACAGGCTTTCACAGACCATATAAACACCATAGACCCAAACATTAAGTTCACCAGGGAGGATACCAAGGACAACAGGCTGGCATTTCTAGTCTGTGAGGTTTCAGTTGGGATCTGTGGTAAGTTAGAAATAGGGATATACATGAAACCCACACACACAGACCAATACCTGCAGTTTGACTCCCAACATCCACTGCAACACAAACTAGGAGTCATCAGGACATTATACCACAGGGCTGAAAACATCCCCACCACCATAGATGCAAAAAAGAAAGAAAACAGACACATGAGGACAGCCCTTAAGGCCTGTGGGTATTCATATTGGGCCTTTATTAAATTTACTTCTAGATACAACAAAAAAAACAGCAGACAGAGCTGAGAACCAGAGAAAAAGGAAAAATCTTGTCATTCCTTACATGGCTGGGGTGTCTGAG